ATGCCTCTGTATCTCCATACAGTCCTCTATGTTTTTCACCCACACCAAGAACATGCTTGATGAACATCTCAGTTATGAAGTGGAAAAATCTAGCACCAGCTACAGGATTATTTGCAATTAATTTGTATCTTTCATCATATTCTCTTAACAATGGACTAAACTTTTCCTTAGTATCAGCAAAGTATAATGATATAGGGTGCATGTTATCAGCTGGAGAGAATGTGATGAACCAAGATGGAGCTCCAATGAATGAGATGAGAGACCAGATTTCATTGCGCATATATTTTTTGGTAGTAGTTGAGCCTTGAACTCTTCCTGAAACATGATCCAAGTCTTTAATAAGCTGAAAACACAAGGACTCTTCATCAGTTTCAGGTTTTACTCTCTCTCCATCTTCCATTCTTTGGATCAAGTCACTTAGAACTTCAATATCAACATCCATAAGTCTTTTTGAAATATTGTCAAATTTTGGAGTCTCAGCAAGCAGGTATCCTGAAGATGTACTTTGTTTGATTTGCTCATGATTAAAAGCAATTAATGCAAAGTGAGAATCCTTTTGAAAGCGCTTGTCATGGTACATAAGAAGATGCCTTTTGTGTTTGATTTCAGACAGACGCCCCTTCTGGAAAGTGTTTCCAATTCCTCCAAGGCCATATGGAAAAAGCCATGGAAACATCTGAGGAAATAACTGAGGATTATTGTATAATGACTCTGGTTCTTGTGCATGGCCCACAGCTAATATCTTTTTATTTGAAGTCAAATGTTGAAGGGCAATGGCTTTGAGTGCTTTTAAGCTTTTTGTTGAATATTCTTCACCAGTCAATCCATGAACTACAAATGGACACTGGCCAGTTTCAGTTCCAGTCTCCTCTTCCATATCATTAATAGCTGTAGACTCTGGATCTTTGTTTGAAGATGACTCTCTATAATCCACTACAACTGGTGGACTATCCTCAGGATATTCTCTAAGATTTTTATAGGATATTTCCAGATCAAAATAGTCACAGTGGTTTAGTTTAAGCCAC